GATAAAACAAGTCTTACAACGGACTTGACGACAGTCATATTATCGCGTAAGCGGAGTATGTGCAGTGTGTTGGAGTATGGTGAACATAAGGTATTATTTGTTTAGGAGGCATCGGTCCTTCATGAAATTTGAGTCAAAACTAATGATGATTTTTATAGGTGATATACAAAAGGTATGTTCTTGTCACATTTCGTCACTCATTTGCTTACGAATCTTGACGATTGACTCTCCGAATGATCCAGATATGCAAGCCTTTATTTTGCAGCCGGTGTGGATTGGAATGAAAATGAATTGTACGTGCTGGAGGTGATCCATCGTTTCGTGCAAGTGCTCGACGAATTTTTCGGCAATGTGTGTGAACTGGACATAATCTATAATTTTGATAAGGTATCGATGTTGTATTACGATGTTTTTTCCTTTTTTTCCCATGACCTCGGTTGCTATTGTTGGAATCTTTGTTCATCTTCGATTTTCCTAATTTATAGGCATACTATATTTTGGACGAGTTACTCATGGGTAAATATGGATAAGAATATATACTGCATATACATATACTGTATATGGCGTGGGTAATCTTTCTTCTGGGGAGGGTGACAAAAACTACCGAGGTTACGTCGTAGCCTAGAGTTTTTGTTTCGCCTTCGAGAAAAATTATTACCCGTGTGCGAATGATGATTTGGTTTAAACTCGCGAGAATATTCATCGACACTAGCTTACACATTATCTCCTTTGATTCATTCAAGCGGGTGAATTGCAAGAATCCAACAAAAAAGCAGTGATCAGTAAGTCTTCCTTCTTTTCCAAAAAAAAAAAAAAAAAACGATGTTTGAAGATAATTCAAGTAGTACATTATCTTATATTTTTACATATATATATATGTCTTTTTTTTTTTTTTCCTCAACGAAAGAATACATTAACACGTTCCAGCAAACTTGCGAATTGGATATAATATCCAGAAATCTCGAGGAGTCCGTGAAATAATCAATCCCACTAATATTTATATGAATCCAATCATTTGTACACAAGAGATATACAAATCTGTTAGATTCATGTCACAAAGCGATGAGTGTATGATTTTCCAAGTTACTGCTAATATGATTTATTCCACCAAAGAATCACCTCCTTTCATGTCTTACGTGAAGACGGAAAAAAAAAATTCATCGAATGACCTTTGATTTCAATGTTTTTTTGAACCTATTAATGACCCGACAAGTAGAGCCCCGACTGCAACCGCCCCGACAAATCCAGAAGTAATGAGCATTCCCACAAATCCCTCTGTTCGTAAAATTAAAATTTTGAGTGCAATGTAAACCAAGAATTAAGAAAGAAGTGTGCATGTGAAATAATACCTCTATTGAGCTTATCCTCTATCAGTTTTTTTAAGCTTTGGGCTTGTAAATTGGTGGGCTCCCTTTCGAGTAACTGATTATTGAACTGCTTGGCGTTCGTGTATTCACCCAGCTTGAAATGTCCCAAGGCAAGGTAATAAAGACATTCGCGACGGCGCTCAGGTGAATCCTGAAAAATTTCTGTTTGAGCAAAGGTTTACTTGCATGAATACGCCCGCAAGAACACACGTGACTTGTTAAAAAAAATGAAACAATTACTAACCTGCCAGCAATTGCACTCCGTATTTCTGATCAGGTTTCCTTTTACTTTTAATTAAACCCCAAGCATAATTAAATTTCGTTTGCGTTGTGACTTCGGCTCCTTCAATTTCAAACTGTCTTTTAAGCACCTGAGAGAAGTGAAAGTTAATAATTCCGCAGGAGAAAAGTATTACCGACTTTCAAATGCAACCTCGGGGAACTTACACCAAGCTCTTCAACAGATACAGGCAACTCCGCATCAGCAGCGTAGGGAAGATCTGAAACAGACATTTTCGAACGGTTACTGTGGTTAAGAATGTTTGAGAGGAAAATTGTAAAGACTTGGCCTGGAGTGCATGCTTTTTATATGCACGTCCACTCAATCTAAATTTCATATGATTGTAACATCCGGATGATTACGTATCATGCCAATTACACTCTTAAAATGAATTATTGTAAAAAACTTGCATCTTTTACGCGACAATGCAAGCCAAGCTTGTTCACCCCGTTCTCGTCTTACAGTCCAACTTTCCAATTTCAGTCGCGAAGTAGCTCTTCCAACTACATGCAAAAGTATGCCCAAAAGCTTCAAAATAAAGCAAAAAGGTATGGTAAATGGCGACACCTTAGTTTGCATGGGTAGTTTGATATCTTTTATTTTCTGAAGTGAGGGGTTTTCCTCCGTGGAAGAACTGAAGGCCACGAAGCTAAACGCGATGCCTAAGATTACATCAAGCTCAAAAGCCAGGACTCCGACACTGAATGAAACGGTAGAAACGAGATCGAGCTTACCGCCAAACGTAAAAGTGAGTAGCCAATTGTTAGATACTTCTGAAAACGATTTCAAGGCATTCGTTTCATTTTTTTTTTTTTTTTTTTTTTTTTTTTTTTTTTTTTTTTTTTTTTTTTTTGATGCAGCCTCTTGACAAAATACTAAATATGGAAAAGGTAATTAATCAAAGTTCGGAGGTCATTGGAAATTTGTGGACCGAATATTATTCCACGAAAGACTGTTTGTCCGCCGTAATTCCTGCCGAAACATATAGAACTTTGTTTGAACGCGGACAGAAATATCCGATGGTACGGTATATACGTTTTTCTTTTTCTTTTTACCAATGAATCATCCTGCCGGTTTCGTTATTAACCCTTTCTTTCTATTAAAAAAAATCAATCAGTTTATCGCACCACTACCTAAAGACACGGGTTTAGAGTTTTATATCCTCCAATTTCAATTTCATCAGTGTTATTTCACCTCACTCTTGGAATACAAAACTCACGGGTCGGAGGCAAGGCAATACCTCGTGTTAACACATTTTCCGGATCTGATGAGTTCCAAGGGAATTGTGCTGATGCATGGCGAATTGCTTGAGCCGAAATTGCTTTCCTTAAAAAACGCGCAGTATCTTGCATACTTCATGCAAAAGTTTTATGTGACAGGAACGGAAAATGAACGAGCGTTGGTGGAAAGGTTTCACAGAGAACCAGATAAATTCGACTACAAAGAATTATTAAATGAAATAGGTGTTGATAAAGAATTATCATGAAATTTGGAAAATTCCTTTATCTGAAAATCGCCTCGTGGAGACAAAAAATTAGTGTCGATAACATAATATACGATAATTTAAATCAACAAGCCCCCCGAAAACCAACCGCAATGTTATCACGTGACCAATTCGGGAAAGTGGAACCGATGGATTGAGAGAAAAAGAATTTGATGATTTCGATCTTGTTTGAATCACGATGAAAGTTTGACGGCGATGTGATCCCTGATTAATAAAAATTTCGTTATTATAAAGCCATTACCGCGACTCCACTGTTAATCCATCTATATTGTTTTCCATTATATTCAATATCAAGTTTCACTGTGTTCATATTCTTTTTATTATTATTATTATTATTATTAAGCGGGTCTGATGAACGATCGGTCAAAGAACATGTCGTTCATTATGACGAATCTCGGAAAACATAGTACCTCGCGACACCAGTAAAGTAGCTGTTCCATTACGTAAATACGATCTAAATTACCTAATAAGGAATTTCCTAACAGGGAACAAATTTACAGTATTTCACATGATGGCTCAGCCGCGCCGTGGCTTATCCCGCTGATATAATATAGAAAAGAAAATATTTTATTTATCCGATTTAAAGAAAAAATAATCTTAATTTCAACTTTTCTATTTCATCGAAATGTCGGATCTTGAGAAGGAGGAACACGAAGATGTTTTGCAAGATGAAGCCGAGGAAGAGGAAGAAAATCCAATACCGGCCGACATAGATTCCTCTGAGGAAGAGGAGGAAACTGACGAGGAAGAGGCGAAAAGGGTAACAGTTTGAACTCCTCCAATCTCGAAGATTGCTGGAAATTAGAAATTAATTCTTGCCCCCCGTAGGTTGCGCAAGATTTTATAGTCGACGATGAAGAGGAAGAGGAATTAGAGGAAATTGCTCCTCCTCGAAAAAAAAAGAAGCCAAAAAAGAGAAAACGAGAAAAAAGCACTGATCGTAAGTAATTCCATTCGTGTCATTCGCATTTTTTTATTATTACTTTTTTATTCATTTGATAGAGCTCGTACTTTTCATATTTGATTATTGCCTTCAATAGTGGACGACGAAGATGAAATATCTGACGACGACCTGGATCTATTAGAGGAAAATACCGGCATTAAAATCGCTAGAAGCGAAGTAAATCTCTATAAAAATATTCCTGGATGACTTTCACGTTATCACATATTTAACTAAAAATATACAATTCAGCCAAAGTTTAAACGCTTGAAGAGAGGTCGACATCAAGAACGTAAATCCGATGTGTCGCGAATTTTCGACGAAGATGAAGTAATGGAGGATCAGTTTGAAGATGTCTCTGATTTTGTTGTTGATGACGATGATGATGACGCTGGAGTTGATGATGCTGACAGGGATCAAAGGAGCCAACGGTATTCCTCCAGCAAGGCCTTTTACGGTGGCGAGGACGACAGGTTAATTTTTAAATGTAATGTTTTTCACCCTTTGGCGGTGCTTACTGATTTGATTGATGTTCGGTTTTAAATTCTGAAGGATATGGATCGAGTGTTTTCATGATATTGATGAGAAGTATGAATTTGCACATAATAATGTAAGGTTCATACATAATATCACTGGATTTAGCGGCTACCTATTCATTATTAAATTGGATTGTTAGGAGGAACCAGAAGAATTCGAAGCTGCTGAGGGCATAGAAGCGCTTCTGGATCCCAGTGCACTAAAACAGCTGAGGATGACCGAGGCCGATAAGTCTATTAGAGTTAAAGATTTGCCCGAGAGGATGCTTGTAAGCTTGTGAAAGTTCGATCTCGTTTAAAAAGGGCTACTTGATCTCATATAATTCATTTCGTAGCTTCGGCCCGACATCGTCGCCGATAGGAAATTGACAGATAAAGAAGTCGACGAGGCTTCTAAATATATTTGCGACGCTTTGGTCGAATATGATGGTCGTCGAAAGTCTCAACAGTTATACGTGGCAATTAGAAGAGTCTTGAAATGCCTTGGGCAGGAATTTCTGGAGGTATTGACTTCTTATAAAGATATTCGGATTGCTCGTCTCTTTCTTATGAAAGTTTACAAACTGTAATTTATAGGTTCCATATATATACGCCTATAGACGTGATCACATTGCAGAGTTTCTCAGTGATTTTTCTGTATCACAAGAAATCCTCGATCGTGCCGACTTGTGGCATATATATGATTTAGAGTACCAATGCAGGTTATTTATAGAGAAGCGAGAGGCAATAGAAAAGCTGTTATCAAAATATGAAATCAATAATGAATACATGACGGACATTTTGGAATCTTCTTCAAATCTGGAGTCCTTGTCTGATCTACACGAATATATACATCATAAATTTTGGAGAGAAATTGCCGCCACGAAATCAGATAGCTCGGCTTCCCGTCGTCGCTCGAAAAGAACGACATTCTATGAGGCCTGTTTAAATAGGGGTCTCGACAAATTGGTTGAGGTATACAATTGACTACTTTTATGCATGAATGGATTGAATTGATTAATCGGTTGACCCATGATTATTAATTGCAGTGCATGGGAGTAGATGTAGAAATATTTTGTAAAAGTTTTATTGATGATAGTCTAAAGCACTATCGTCCCTCCGAATCCAAGGTTGATCCAATTGTTACAGAACAATTTTTCATGAACCCAGCGGAAGATTTAGCAAGTAAATTTTCTTTTTCATATATAGGTTTTTCTGGTTTTTCTGTATTTTTAATGTTCCATATTTTATATAAATAGATGCTGTGAAAATGCTTTCACACGACATTGCATTCAATCCCCTGTTTCGGAGATACGTTCGCCAATATTACCTTAAGCACAGTGTGGTTGCAGTTAGACCGGTAAAGAGCATCAGCGAAACAGACTCCTGTTGGGTAAGAATTTCAAAATCTCGTGATGATTAGGAACATATTATTAAGAATACCTGTCTGTGCTCGACCCGTTAATTCCGATAAAAATTTGTTAGCCATTTAGGTTTTTAAAAAAGCACATTAGTAAATTTAAAAAAACTGGATTATTTTCCGAAATAATATCAGCCGAAAAGAGAGGGCAAATTAAAGTTACGATCGCACTGGAACACGAAGAAGAATTCATTGAATCATTAAAGAGGCAAATTACCAACAACTCTACCGAGATAGATAGATCATGGAACAAGTATCGTGTAGATGCTGTTAATCAAGCATTCGTCAAAATACTACGTCCGATTATGGAAATTTGGATAAAGTCCCGTCTCACCAATGACTCTGAACAGTGGGTCATGACAGAGACGATGAAGAGTCTTGAAAACGTAAATATAACAAATTCATACACGATTTCTTTCCTTTTATGCTGGTAATTGTTCTTATTTAATAAAATACACGAATATGTGTGCACTATGTATCAGAGATTAAACATTCGTCCATTCAGATCTGCTAGAATGGACGCTGACGAAATTCCCCGAGTTGCGGCTTTATCTTGGGGGAACGGTCGTCGTAATACAGAGTGTATCTGTCTCGATGAGAACGGTAAACTCATCGAGTCACTTTGTTTTAAAGACTTGAGAAAGAATGATGAATTCCAGAGGTTTGTCAGATTCCTTCGCGAGAACAAGCCTCGGGCTATCGTGGTGCGGTGCTACGATGGCCGGACCAAATTCTTGCTGGAAACGGTTCAAGATGGAGTCGAATACTATAGGAATCACGGGGGCGAGGACATTCCCGTAATGGCGATAAACGATGATGTGGCGAAACTATACATGTTATCTCAGCGTGGCAAACGGGAATTCCCGGATTATGACGGTGTGGTGAAGTATTGCATCTCATTAGCCAGAATGCTGCAGTGTCCAATTAGCGAATATGCTGCGCTTGAAGATAAAATAGCGTCAATCGTATATCATCCGTTACAAAAACTGGTACGTATCATTATCATGGGTGTTCCTAAGACGTCATTTGTTCGCAATTGCCCTGACCCCGCCTTTATTTACACCACACGTATTTAAGCTACCTCGGGAGAAACTTCTGGAATGCCTACAACGTGCCTTCATCAATATTGTCAACGAAATAGGCGTCAGCATTAATGATGTTATACATACACAGAATAAAATAGACCTTCTTCAGTATGTAAGCGGATTAGGGCCACGTAAAGCGGAAGTTTTGGTTAAAAAGATCTTATCTGAGGTACATGAAAATTCTTTAAGACATTTATCCTACCACTGGTCTATCTTACAATTTTTCAAATTCTCCAGGGAAACATAGAGTTAGAAAAAAGAGAGGATATGCAAAGTAATGGTTCAATGGGAAACAAAGTATTCACAAATTGTGCAGGCTTCATACGAGTTCGTCCGAAGCGGGTTGGATCATTTGATGATACCAGAATTCACCCCACGTACTACATTTTGGCACGTAAGATGGTCTGTGATGCTCTTGATTTGGATGACGATGAAGCCGAAGAAGAATTGTATCACACCAACAATCGTCGTGTTGATATGCTCAAACGATTAGCAGCTGAACCCGAAAAACTTAATGATCTAATTTTGGACGACTATGCTAAGAGTCTTTCGAAATATTACGAGTCACCGACTAAACTTATCCTTCATAACATCAAAACTGAATTAATGAAGCCTTACGCAGATCCTCGCCGAATTTTTGAAATTCCCACGCCCGACCAATTATTTGAAATGGAAACGGGTGAAACGGACGAGACTCTCTTTACGGGTTTGATTGTGGCCGCTGAAGTTACCCGTGTTGAGGAAAGAGCTTTGAAATGTTGCCTTACCGAACACCAGTTGGATGGCACCATTACCATCGGCAATCTTGTGGACTACAGGATTACGCCGCAAGAGATGCAATCAAAATATGCTGTGGGTCAGCTGCTTAAAGCCAAAATCATAAATATTGATAAGAAAAAATTCACCGTGGCTTTATCTACCCGCTCTCGTGAAATGAGTACTGGTAAGAACCTGCCTTTAACGCGTAGAAAGCTTGATGAAGACTACGACTACGACGCTGAAGCTCTTTACACACCAAAGCAAGGTAATTATTCCTTAATTTGATCTGCACTTAAGTTTGGAATAAGGATTAACCATTTTAGCGGACTGCAGTCAAGCCCAAGGTAATTATTGCCAGAGGCCCGACTCGCGTAATTCCCCATCCAATGTTTCATCAGAAAACCTATATTGAGGCTATCGAGTATCTCGGGGATAAAAGTAATGGTTCCATCGTTATCAGACCATCATCCAAGGGTTTTGGTTATATTGGAATTACGTGGAAAATATATAACAACATATACCAACACATTGGTAAGCATCCATTCGATTAATCCTATATTACTGGCCTTAGCAATGTTGGTTCCTATTCACATTATTACAGATATTGTTGAAAAGGAAAGAGACGGAGCTCCGGTTGGTCGCAGGTTAGAAGTAGAAAATGGAAGATATGTTTATTCTGATCTGGACGAGCTTATTGTTGAATATGTGGAACAAAAAGCACGAAAAGTTGAAGAGTTGACGAATCATATGAAGTTTAAACCATCGGAAGAATCTCTGAGTATGTATCTTTGTCAGTCTACATTAATTTTTTTGCATTATTTATTTATTCTTTTGTATAACAGGGAGTTTTCTGGATATGAGTTTGAACATGAATTCCAAACAATCTTCGTATGGCTTTTGTCTGGACGTTGATATTCCGGGAGGATTTTGTCTCATGTTCAAGTGCAAACAAAATTCAAACATTGAAACCTGGGTATGAATTTCGTTTTATTTTATGACTATTTTTTTGGCAATCACTGAAATTCTTTGACATTCTATTAGAAAGGGTATATTAAGCCAGAAGGGTATAAATTAAAGGGAGAATTGTATCATACGGTTATAGAGATGATAAATGGTTTTAAGAGAACAATTTCACGAAATCCTGGTAGCATGGGACATTTAAGAAGATAAAGTGTTCGTGTTTTGTCAGACGTAACCACTTTTCAAATTATAACTGTCTCTTCCACAAATCCTGTTCAATAAAAATAAGTTATAATTTATCTTTAGCATTTCAACACTATTGTTCAAATGAACTTATTAAGCAAAAGATTATAAGATTTAATTCAATTACATAAAATTCGCATTACGGTATTTTCTTATTAAATATAAAATACCAATCGTTTTTTAAAACCAACTTTTATTTTTATTAAACCATTTTTTTTTGTTTTTGTTTTTATGTAAAAAATTAGATTTACAGTATATAATAGTTTGAAGTATTAATAAAATCCAAGATAGATTATAATCCATATCATGAAATTAATATAGAGCGCAAAATTGAGGGTTGGTTCAACTAGTTATATTAAATCATTTTTTAAACTTAAATTATTGTAAATAAAGAAATTTTTTTTTGATTGTGTCCCTATCAAATTAGTTATATACAAGTTTATATTTATTTAAAACAATTTGTTATTTTGTAATAAACTTTAAAGATTTTTCTTAGATTATCTAATATAATTGACAAGTTATTATTATCAATTATTTTTTTTTTTTAAACTTATGGTCAGATTAGCATAAAGTGTTTATTTTTTTTAAGTATCCATAGCATTCTTGAATATTTCTTTAATAATTATAAACTACTTTTTTAATTCTTTCTTTGGAAATTGTTCTTTTAAAAGCAATTCCACTTGAACAAACTAGTCAAATATAAATTTGATTATATTTTAGTAATGATGACAGGATCCTGCTCTCTAAAAAGAACATTTGACAGGACCTTGCTCTTCAAAAAAGATATTTCAAACAGAATTAATATTTTTTGAAAGGACATTTGAATAAATAATAACTTTAATAACTGGATTCCAAAATTACCACCGGATTTTGCAACTACTTATCCTAAATATTTTCTTGAAACTTCATTCAATCCACTCTTTGGATACTTCTAATCATAACCAATATAGCGCAATTCATTCTTCTTCACTACATTATAATTTAGCAATGGATAATATTTTTCAGGATCCTTGAGATCAAACAAGTTATCCTTATAACTTGAATCAATCTTGAAATAGGTATCCTCCGCAAGGTCAGGATGATGATGAGGAAAGTAATAGGTAGGAGGAGTGCAATGACAACCATCAGGACAATAGAAAAGATGAGTAGCAATCACTATTATATAGAAATAGGTCAGGCCAAAGGCAAAAAAATGACAAAGGAAGAAGCAACAAAATTAATTTATCTATGATTATAGGCAAAATAATGATCAAAATTTCATTAATATATCATGACAACTCTTTACATCAATTGTTGGGATAAATGCATCAAGGAACAATAACCAAAGGAAAACAAAACTGATGGATATACCAATCTTTAAAGAAGAGGAACAGAATCCTCTTATTTGACCCAATGAATTTGATGAAGAATGTAGGAAAATTATATCAATAAACAGTGCAAATTTAAAATACTTCTTTCTTATTTCAAAGAAATAGTATATTCTTGATGATCTTCTATAGATGACCAAATTAATTATTGGAACAATTCAATACATCCAACTGAATCTTTTATATATTAATTCTGTGCAACTTGATGTATTACTTATCACAAATCAAGGTGGATGAATTAAATAAGGTAGTAAATACAAAAACCAGGAGAAACTGTGGATAAATATCTGAATGCAATTACTTTTTTTTACAAGTGTATTAATCTTAATAACAACTACTCTCTTGAGAATAAAACTAGATAATTCATCAATAGTTAAAGAATAAATTGAAGGAACCAATTGAAATTTCTTGTTCTCTTAATATGACTAAAACTATCAATCATGTTTATGCTGTTGAATTAATCTACTCTAGGAATTCTACTTTAAGTGTTTATTTTTTGAGATACAATTACTTAAACTAGAATATTGATAAACTCAAGGATATCAAAACAACAATTACTCAATTCTCTTAAGGATTTCAACAATTGGCCATTTCAACTAATAAGAGGTATAATGGCAATAATAATATTAATAACAATAATAGAGAGGGAAATCAAAAAGAAACTCACATTTGTAACAATTGTAAAAAGTTGAACACTTGCAATGTGACTGTAGATCACACTATAATAACAATAATGAAAACAATATAAACAAATAGCAATAACTTTAGGAGGTCCTATAATAATAATAGCAATAATAATAGAAATTAGTTCAACAATAACAACAGTAAAAGGAAATGTTTTATTTGCAATCAACCTAAATACTTGATCAATCAATGTTTTCAAAGTAATATCAACAATTCAACAAATGGAAATGAATCTAGCAGCCATTAATCATCTTCTAGTAACCAATCCAACAATTGCAATCAATGGCTTAATCTCTCTATGCAGAATTTTGCTAAAGTAGTGGATCTTATGGACTGATATTTAAAAGATTAAGGAGATCTAAAGAGAGTCAGGAATCTCCTATACTTTCAAATTCCTCTACATCAACATCTCTTTTACCTGAACAAACTGAACAAAACAACTTCAAAGCTGTAATACAAAAATTGATAACTATTCTATTTATTTAATTATTAATACTGGATCAACAAGAAGTATAATTTCTAAGCCATTTTTGAACTTTTGGGAATGCACTATCTATAAATCATCTTTTATCAATCTTGTAAACATAAATAAAGAAAAAAAATGATTATTGAGCAAGAAAAAAGATTTACCAATCACTATCAAAGAAATTATCATACCTGTTACTATGGATATATCTGAATCAACTCAATATATAGTTATTGTAGAAAATAACTAGATCACAAAATTAAAACTATTATTAATTATAATCATCAAATTATGGACTTGAATTATTTGATCAAAAATATCTGATATAAGATCACATGTTGGAAAAATCAAAATTTAATGATGATAGAAGGCCTATAGGAATTGAACTTTTGAATAAAGGAAAAGGAAAAAAAATCTATTATTCAACTAATGAATTGAAATATGAGAAAACTTTGAATGAGAATCAAACTTGCTGTGCACTTTTAAGGAACTCTAATGAACAATCATTGGTGAAAATTGATAAGTTAACAATCATACATAAGGAATTAATAACTTACATCCAAGAACTTGAAGCCATGCAACAACTGTTCTTGATTTCTAAACCTCTGCAAAAAGAATGGAAAGAATCAAAAACAATTTGTTGATGTGATTATTACTTGGAACAGGAATCTGATATTTGTATTACTTGTCAACTCAAAGTTAAGAATTAAGAACTTATTCAATACTTGAATATGAATCATAAAAAGAAGCTAGACAAACCACCTAATTTAATCCAGGAACAACAAAATCAATTTAACCATTTGATACAACAATATTAGAATATAATTGCAATTGATAACTTACCTACTGGATATACTGACTTGATCACCCATTACATTATTATTGAAAACACTCTACCAATTAAACAGTAATCTTATAGAATATCTTCTGTTAAACATGAATTTGTGGGAAAGGAAATTAAATACATATTGACTCAAGGAATTATTTAACTATCTTATAGCCCTTGGACTTCTTCAATTGTGTTGATCAAAAAGAAAAATGGTTAAACAAGATTCTGTGTTGACTATTAAGCTCAACAAAGTTATCAAAAAGGATGCTTACCTACTACCTAGGATTGATAAAATTCATGACTTACTAGAAAAGGCCAAATGGGTTACTTATTTGAATATGGCTAGTAGATATTGACAAATTAAAATGAATCCAGTGGATAAGAAAAAAACTGCTTTTATTATCAAACAAGTAACTTTTGAATTCAATATTATACCTTTTAGATTAACCAATGCACCAATCACTTTTCAATAACTTATAAACTGCATTTTCCATAATATTAAGAAAAAATATGTATTAGTATACTTGGATAATATTAATATATACTCTGCAATATTTAAGAAGCACTTACAACATCTAAAGGAAGTTTTTGAAAGGTTTAGGCAAACTAATTTCAAGCTTAACTTGAAAAAATACCACTTTTGCAAAAAAAAACTTGCATTTTTGGAATATATTATCAACCAATATGGAATTTAACCAGATTCAATCAAAGTGGAAAAAATAAAAAACTTTGTCATATCAATCAATACTATTGAACTGAGAGGATTTATTGAACTAATATCTTATTACCACTACTTCATATCAAGCTTTACCACTATAACTGAATCAATGAATAGGCTTTTAAGAAAAAATAAACTATATCTTTGAAATGAAAAATGTCAATCAGCATTTGAGAAACTCAAGAAAAAATTAATCATCATATCAATCTTAACTTATCCAGATTTCTCCAAGCCTTTTCTTCTATATACTGATACTTCTTATAAAGAACTGGAAGCTGTTCTGACTTAATTGGATAAACAAGAAAATGAATATGTGATAACCTATACAAGCTGAAGTCTTGTTAAACTTGAAGTTAATTACTTCACACTGAAATTAAATATCTTGTTAACATTTGAGCTATGAAATACTTTCGTTCTTATATCTATTTTTAGGAATTTACTCTTATTACTGACTACTCAGTTCTTCAATAGATAATTAATAACCCCATCCCAAACAAAAGAACAATATGATGGATACTTACTATTATGAATAATCTCTTCAAAATTCAATACTGGAAAAACAGAAAGTATCAAAATACTGATACATTATTAAGACTCTCTTCAACTTCAACATCTTAATCATGAATTTGAAAATTTAGCAACAACTATACACATATCTTTCTACTGAAAAACTACCTCTGGTTTTAATGATAAAGAAAATAATCTCTTTCAA